TTAAGCCTTGCGCTGCGTGAGCAGTGATCGCGAAGTACGGGCACAGTGGGAGCTGCCCGTTCGCTGACCACATTCCTCGACGTGATTTGCGCGCAAGTTGCAGCACTCGACTTGTCCTCGCACAATGCCTTTGCAGTAAGCGTCGCTCAGGAGCCGAGCTGTGTGCCTCTTGCCGAGCCGATCCACGCCAGCGCCTGCCAGTTGTGCAGCGCAATATGGCCTTTACGAAACTCGCTGGTTTCATGAAATGCCATGGGCTGACACTTCGCGCAGTAGTCTGCGCAGTAACCTGTCTGTGCGTCCTGCGCCCTCTGCGCTGCTTCTGTGACGCTGCGTCGCTGCGCTGGGGTCAGGTCATCGCCGCATTGGCGACAATTGAAAGGCAGCCGATAGGGGACTTGCACGTCCACATTGCCGGCAAGCATTGCCGGGTGGAAGGGGATTCAGCCACCCGTGCAAGTAAGGTCCGTGCAAGGACGCCAAGCGGTTCTTGCGTCCGGCTCCCTCCATCTCGTGTGTCTTCAGCAGACACGGACAGAGCACGGCTGCGTCTTCCCGCAGCCATGCCGTCCTGGGAAACGCGCTCTTGCATTTGTTGGGTCTGTCTTGCCGCTGGCAGCCCGTCACAAGGGCTTGAATTCGTGCGTCTCTGCATGCCAGTTGTGCACATGGTGTTGCTTCAAAGCTTTCTTCACCAGCCTGCGCGCTCCTTCAATAGTAGTGTTCTTGGGAAGAAGACGCTTGTCGTCGCCCTCCCCACTGACATAGCTGGGCCCAGCCTTACGGAACTCCTCGAACTGCATCTTATCAGTGCTTTCCCGCAGCCTCAGTATGCCGAGGCTTGGGTGCACACATCTCAGACTTGAACATTGCGGAGTATCAGGAAGCGTCTCTTCTTCCCCCTTTCCTGAGCCGGCACCCCTATCGGGGCCCTGCTCGCGCTCGTCCTCATCTTCAACCTGCGGCCGCTTTCCCCATTCGATCTTCGTCTTCGGCATCAGGGAACTGCAACACCTCCGGCCATGTGGTGTCCGGGCCAAGCAGCTCCCATCAGGCTCATCCTCAAACCATCACTTTCCGAACGGTTTGCCATCTCTCCCGATGATCTGCGCGGCCGTAGATCCCGAGTGAGACAGCGCCGAAACATGGGATAGCATGATCTCGACTGCGGATTGAGCCAGCGTGTCCGACATCTGCTCCCTGGTCGGAATAGTTCGCAACTCTGGAGCAAGGTGACCAGCGATCATGCTGAATGGCGCGGTGCCCAGCCGCTTGCCCAAAACCGCTTCGTTCAACGCATTGAAGTACTTCTGCAGTTTCTCCAGCATCGCGGTCGCCGCCATCAGCAGAGGATGGAACATCGGCATTCGCCATGCCCGAGGGCACTATCCACATGCGACGAGATTGCGGTGATCATTCGCCACTAGGAGGTGCGACGACGCGACTTCCGGCGCCCATGTCGGACAATCCAGTGGACTGCACTGACCTGTTTGCGCGTTCAGCAATTCCCGAAGACAGTCGTAGGCTCTCCGGTTCGGGTCACTAACGTTTCCCTGAACCGTAGCCATCCCTATTGAGCATATCTGCCCAATCTCCCACGGGTGCCCGTCCATGATGGTACTTTGCCTGGATGTCCTGCCTCATCCCCAACCAGATGCGGGCAGCCTCAGTCGCCATCCTCCGATCGCGTGGGTTGATGTACTCCTGGTCAATCCTCCCAGCCACCCGGAGTGCATCAAGAGCCCCGTGCATGAAGTCGTTGCGCACGGCTCGCCAAAGATCGCGTTCCACTCGCTATCGCGAGTAGGAAACATGATGCGCTCAGTCTTGCGAGCATTCTTCCACTCCTCGGCGGTAACCCGCTCCTGAGTGATCGCCCTGTAGCGGATGACCGCGTACATGAAGGGCTCACCTGCCTCCCTCGCGAGGACGTGCTGGGCAATGTGCTTCCTATTGGACTTGTACTCCGCCGGCTTTGCAGACGTCCGCGACCCCCTCGAAACGAGGTAGGACCTCGACTCCTGGAAGTGCCTGACATCCGCCGGTTTCAGCTCCGGGTAGGGCGTGTTCACGTAGTTGCGCACACCTCCACGGGATTCCTGAGCGGCCCTCAGGGTCATCGCAGTATCCCGCAAATCCCCATCGTCGTCGGTGTACTTGGGAGCGTTGGACTTCAGCATGCTGGGGCCAGTTGGACCTGACTTCACATCCTTCTTCTGAGCGCCAATCGGGTCCTTGGTCTCGCGACCCTCCTATCGGGAGAAGCCACTCTTCCACCGTGGGAGCTTCCTCTTTTGGACGCTGCAGCTGCCTGAGAAACCTCAGCCTTCTGGGGAGCACTCTCTTCCTTCTCGGCCGGGATCGCCGATTCCTCCTCCGGCTCCATCTCCATCTCGACGTCCCCGGCGAACTCCTGCGCCTCGGCTTCAGTCGGGGCCTCACCATCAGGAAACGCGTCCGTCGGCTCTCCCCTATCGGGGATGAGGTCTTCGAGGTGAAGGGGGCACACAGCTCCAAAATTATCCTCATCGCAAATTGGAAGTCCATCTGTTGCCTACTTCGCCTCCAGGTGCCGGCGGGGAGGGGGTCCTTGAACTTCTGGGAGGGTTCGGCGGAGATTTCGGCCGCACCGCTCCCGAGAATCTCTCTGTGATCAACGCCCTGGGAGACGGCGGTCGCACTCCGAACTTGCCGGAGCTCCGCCTATCGGCGGAATCTCCGATCCAACGTTCGGCATTTAGATCGACATCCTCGGACTCCGACATGGAACCAGCTCCGCCCATCTTTGAAGAAGTACACTCCTTCAACTCCCTCAAGACGGCGTCCCTGATCTTCATCGCGGTTTCCCCAGGCCAGTCTGTCCTGGTCAAGGAATAGAAGACCGCTGCCAGGTATGCAGGCAACAAAGTCCATGCTCTCTGCGCCGGTTTGTTCCTGCCATACTGGTCCACCTCACGCCCCCTCGATACAGCGTCTGCGGAGACCACGGGAATCATGTTCATCCGAATCATGTTCATCTTCACCTGGATCTCCCTCTGCATGTGAGTTCCCTGGCCACCCTTCCCTGGCCACCCTCGCGATCTACGTTGCGTATAAAAAGGAATTAAAACTGGTTTTCATTCTTTTTTACAAGCCTAGAAGTGACCCTGGGCAGCTAAAGGCTTTCTCATCTAAAAGCTTGTGCTTCGCTTGTTTGATCTCAATGTGCCCGAGAAGTTTGACATGACGCTCCATAAAAAAGAATTAAAACCAGTTTAATTTTTTCCAATCCTAGAAGTGGCCCTGGGCAGCTAAAGAATTAAAATTGGTTCCAGCTCTAAAATTCACGGACCGTCGAATAGTGGCTGATGTCAAAGAATTAAAACCAGTTTTAGGAATAATAAACACTTGTTCCCAGTCTCTACCCTACAGCTCGTGCGTTTGCCGCCATGGCGGGCCGTACCTTCCATGTCCATTCTCTTCAGAGATCCTTGTCCTGCAACAATGTGCAAGTCCCCTGGCGAAATTGGTGGCTCTAGAGAGAACGATTGGATGGATGAATAAAATTGAATGCGGAAGCAACCAAGTTGAAGCTTGGGCCTGCGTGCCTGCGTGCCTGCGTGCCTGCGTGCCTGCGTGCCTGCGTGCCTGCGTGCGTGCGAGCGTGCGAGCGTGCGAGCGTGCCTGCGTGCACGCGTGCGCGCGGCGCGTGCGTGCGTGGTGCGCGCGCGGGGTGGGG